ATAATAATCCTCATTACATTTTCAGATACCGTTGGGAGGTCTAATAAAAAACAAATGGAAATACACACAATGTACTGCACACACACCGGAGCAATACTTACTGCTTGGAAATCTTAACTACATGAATAAAAGAACCGCCAAAACCCATAAAAATTCTTGGATCTTTTATAAGGTCAGTTGAGGGCATTGCTCCGGCATTATTCCCCGAGTTACAATGGTGAACCTCTGTGCAAAATGGCCAGCCAAATTTGCATTTTAGATTGGGGCCGAACGAAAGCAGTCACAAACAAAGTAATAAACATCTTACTTAGTAAAAATTGAGACAAGTTTTATCCACAAAGGGCTGAGGTGGCAAAATTTGGCAATAAAAGTAATTTCCAACCACATGTAACTGTGAAATTTTACACTAATGTCAGATTTTTAAATTCCATACGATTTTTAAATTCTATACGATGCTGTTCTAAGGCAGAACCCTTTGATGACCACCCGTTTATGTTCAGACAACTTCCCAAAATGAGACAAATTCTAGGACTTTTTCGAGTAGAAATACATGTATCATAAAAACATAACATAAGGAAATGTTTGTCTTTTTGTTGAGAGTTCTACACTAGAATTGTATGATCAGATGTTGAAAACACTTTGACTATTTAGCTTTTTATCAGATTCATGTGCTGTCAAATGAGAACAAAAGGTTGAGAATGTTGATCATCTGGATTCGCTACACATTTCAAGCAACTTTGGGCTTGTATGGTATCTCAGCTGCTGTTAAATTCATAATTTTTTTTTTTTTAATGAATATTGCTTAAGACCACTTTGACTCAAACTTATCCCTTTAAAACTGCCTCCGCACGTGTGCAGAATGTGCGCAAAATGTCAAGTTTTATTAGTGAAGAAAACCATACATTCCGTCTGGCTAGCCAGATGGCACAAGTCTGCTGCAAGCCATTTCACGTCAAGGCATAGGGGGATTTTATGTTTGATTTATTAAAAAACAAGCGAGCGACGGGCGATCTGGTGGGAAACGGTACTCCTAATTCGTAAATTATTGCTGAATAAACAGAGAAGGATTGAAATATGCACCCTGTTTACATCGGATAGAGGTGCAATGTGACAAGCAAGTAACATCAATTTTTTTTAAATAAGGGTTTAAATTTTCCTGGGCGGGTTTTATCAAACAAACATGAAAATGATGTGTAGCTCAGAATGTGACGCTGGGATGCTTCATCTTAAACTATGTGTATACATGTATGTTATACGGCCTACATTGTGAATGTTCCACGACCAGGTGTAAATTAAAATTCGACCTTTTTACTCTCTGGTGAATAAGGGAAAAAGAGTGGAGCCGGTGGAACTGGTGTAGGCATCTTTTAAACTTGCCTAGCTGGTGTAAACATAGTTAACATGGTATAAACTTGCACTGATCTGGTGTAAATTATGACAAATTGGTTTGTAATAGTTTGAATTTTACTTCAATTGGTGTAAACAAAGTGTAAACATGGTGAAACCGTGCTTGGATTAGTGTAAACAGGTGTTAACATGCTGAAGCTGGTGTTGGTAAGCCAAGTTGTAAATCCGAGTATTTGATTTGAAATCTGTTTATACATATACCGGTATGCAGCCTCTCAACAATTGAAAGGACAAAACATTTCCACAGTGTATTTTAACTCATACATTGTATAAGTAGATGCTGTTGGTTTTTGCATGTTCAGTTATAAATTGTTTCCAGGCCTGCGCGCATGATCCAGTGGGATACGCATCAACTCCTTCACTTTGTTGTGAACAGGCAACACCGCAGCCTCTATACAGACAAGAGTCTAGACAGTTTTAGTTAAAAGCAGATCTTACGAGCCTTAATGACTTGACTTCAAGGCAGACAAAATGAATGAAAACAGGTGCATTTGACCATTATATCCAATAATGATGTACAAATGTTGACTTAATAACACGAGCAATTTCCAACCATAACGATCTTCTCATGTAGTTTCGCCAGACTCAATTGCCACACTTGTACTGGTACCATCTAATTTTCCAAAGCAAGGATTGCTTTCTCCATAAAAAAGTACTCTTAGATAAAAAAATTAATAAAAACAAGACGGTAGCTTGACAGCCATTTCAGCTTATGTACATCTGCAGGCTGGATGTTCACTGTCCATGTAGCCTATTCCAAATTAATACATGCATGTTTGGAAGTCATGTTGGAAATTGTTGCCCCAAGATTACATTAAAAAAAATCACCTCCACGCATTCACCAACATACAAACTAAAGACAAAAGCATCACGAATGAACCCTCATATGCAAATAAACATATTCTGTGCAAAGTTGTCCTTGCAGTGAAAATCAATCAAGTGACTGTTTTCAACAGTAAAGAGCTCCCAGCCTCCACAAAGCAGGATTGACTGGCTGTGACTGTTTATGTAACTTGATACAGCTATGCTTTGATTGTAGGTGATTGATAAGCAAGGTGTGCCTACTTCTTGCCCGCTTTTGTCTGTTGACTGAATTTGACTAGTCACAGTGCTTGCTTAAAATATGATCTGACTGTTGGTGACTAGCCTGTGTAAAAGGCAAGGCAGGGGAAGTCTGTAACTGTTCAGTTAGTAGGAGGGTATACATGAATATAATACAAATGGACAGTGACTGCACAGCCATTGAAGACGACATCTGACTTGCTGCATTTGAAGCCTGACTTGCTGCATTTGAAGGCATAGCTCTAAATATCAGTATCTAACCTTGAATTTCAGAAAATGTATTTAACATTTTTGACTTGCTGGACAAAGAATAATGGTATAAATAAAAATCTGATTATCAATTGGAGCAAGTTGGGATGATACACATGTTTTGTATAACCTTGCGCATGGAGGGCTACTTTTTAATTGGACGTACAGTAATGACATTTATTCAAAGAAACTTTTGAGTGCATCTAGAAGGGAGAGCTAATTGCTAATCATAGTAAAGGAATCTGCTACAGTCTTTATTAAATTATTGTACCTTCCAATTTGTTCATTCTCAAGTGGATTTGGTTCACTTTCCAAGAGGCGGCCTTTGAGATATCTCCCACGAACAATCCTGTTATGGTTTATTATGACAGAAGCAGTGCAATTTGAGGCATATGAATTATGACTACAATAAAAAAAAATACCATAAATAAAGTTGCATTCGGCGCACAACCAGAAGGTACCACAAACCCCTTTTTGTTATTTTTGTTAAGAAATACAGAAGTATCAATGTCCAATAAATGCTCTCATCAAGTTGAATGTATAAACGTCTGCCGAACCCGAACGTTCGTTCCTTAAAATCACACGTACGACACAAATTTTGACAAGGAAATTGTGAAGTTTGTTCATACAGTAAATGTCACAACGGCGAGGTCTCGGAGGTAAATTTCACGGTCGGGACCATTTTTATGGAGCTTCATAAAAATTCCAGTCATGCCCCAAAAATCACACATGTAGAACTGCATGTGTTTGCATGTGTTCAAAAAGGCAGATGGGGTGCAACAAGATTTATAGTGTTCATTTTAAGTTTTTTAATAAAAACATGTAGTCATGTACTACTGTGTAATGTATGAGCCAAACTGTATGAGCCAAACAATCAATGATGGAAAAAACCGAGAAACACTGATGGAATCAGTTACATGTACATGTACAGTCACTCTTGTTTTACTATACTCTTGAGGACAATGCTTTGTGTTTTCCTTTGTCCCTGTGATATAACACTCTCCCATAGACTAAGCTCACAAACCTACCACAGAGGACCGTTTCTAACAAAAGACCCAACTCCCGAGGACTGAAAGGATCTGTTGTTCTCCCTTTATGACGTCGGTACTCGGGGGTTATATGTAGAACACGTACATGTAGTTCTTCTTTGAGATTAAATGGTCTTAAAGCAGGTTTAGGATATACATAATTTGTATAAATTTTTTAAAACGTGGAGAAATGAGGCAGAGGAGGAACTAGAACCAAGGTTACATGTAAGTCTCGATGGAACACGACGCAAAATTCTCCTGATTGGTTAAGAAATCCTTGTACACCAAAAGCAATCTCCCAGCAGCGACCTGTGATAACAATTTCTCAAAGTGGAATTCCGTGGAGGTTACATACTGCATCTGTCATTTAGGAGTGAAAATGATTACTAATCTGGACCAGCTGGAAATTCTGTCATCAGATTGGACTATCGGATGAAGAATGCTGTGTTAATTAGCAGCTGAAGGGCACCGGAAATGAGAAAAAAAAAAAAAAAGTTGCAGCCAAACATGAGCGTGATCGAGAATTAGCCATTTCTATATGGTCTGACAAATTTTTGTGACAACTGTAGCAGATACTGTGAATACGGGTATCTGAACACTGCCTAAATTTTCTTGAGCTGCATCCAAATTACTTGGCTACGGCTAGCAATTACACACACGCCTATGGAAGCCGCTGTAGCCACTTCCCATAGACGTGTGTATTACTGCCAGCCATTTTGTTACACTCAAGGTAAACTTAGGAACTTTGGCACTCTGACCCATGAAACTCTGTGCATACCTTGCATGTGCTGTATACAAGCTAATGCGCTCTTGTACTGGGTATTACACACATCCAGAGTACAGACACACGTGAGAAAAACAGATTCTATGATGTCCTCGAAGGTATATCTTTTGTTGAGAACAGTCCTCGAACGTAAATTTGTGTGTGCGTAGTCTCTGGGGGAGTGTTATATTTTAGGAACAAATGGAAAGACAATGCCTTGTCCTCAGACGTAATGGTAAAGTACGGCTGTGCGCAAGCTTAAGTATGTTCAAAATTTCGTGGGTTGCAGTGCCGAAGTTCCCAAGACTAGACTTGATTCATCTTGTTGGTATCACCCTTTACCACCACGGTAACTTGACTGCGCATGCCAGGGTTTGGACCTGCTGCATTAGGAGAACACAATCCACATCCAGTCTTGGAACAAGAACACTGTTGAAGGAGCGAGATTTATTTTTAGGGGGACGTGGGAAGAATAGCCGACACTTTCTTACCTCGTTCTTTCAAGACTTGTTCTACCTCCTCCCATCCTCTCTTGTCTCCTGTGACATCCAAGGAGCCGTCAGACAGGTCACTGAGGATCGTCTTGGCAGTCTCCCGGCCATCATTCAAGGAGGACAAAATGACACCTGTTGGGCCTCGCTTGACCCAGCCGCTGCAGTACAAACCTGATGGAACAGGACGGATGCACAGACAATTGTAAATGTTATCACTCCGCAATAATACTACACATCTTTTGAAGAACACTTTGCGTTGAATCTGATTCTTCAAGAATCACTGAAATGCACAAGTCAATGAAAAGTCACTATTGCCAAGGAGTTACAAAGTAAAGTCTGTCACAAGCCAATGTGGCCCATCAAACCGGCGTTTATCTCTGGTTTTAGCATGAAACGACTGGGAATTTTTATATTCCCCCTGGATGGGATGTTAGTCTATCACAGGTTACTCCCCAGCTAATGCCAGTACCCATTTGTACTCCTGGGCGAAGGGGCAAGTGGGGGTGAAGTGGCTTGCTCAGGGACACAACCTACGGCCGGCAGCTGGATTTGAACCCCTGACCCTCTGATCATGAGTCATAAACCCTAACCACCAGGCCACCCTCCCCGCAATATGAGCAGAGTACTTAATCCACAGTTGGAAATGCAGTCCGAGTCCTCACAAGTAACCACAAGTCATCACACATCATCACAAGACAATTACAAGTCATGCAGTCTCCAGTAACAAGCTAATGACAAGGCATTCCTTTGCCATTGGTTATATCCCTGTCGCTTGGTTGATTGAGTCTACATACAGTGGGGCTCCAGATACTAATATACTTTTGAGTACACACCCACTTTATAGACTATGATGTACTGTGTGCAGAACCTGAAGGTGAGAATCATTGTCAATAGCATCCCAGATACAGAGCTGAAACATTTAATGATGGCATTTTGACAGAGCACACATCGATACTTGCTGGTAGCTCCGAGCGTGTTTTTGTTATTTCAATTCAGTAACGACGAATGGAAATAAGGTGTACTCATGCCTATCCAAGCAATGCAAAACCACTGCCCTCTAACTCCGCCTTAACACTCAAGATCTATTTGCTGCAGAGAGCACACCACAACCGAATGTGCATGGAGGATTAACATTCACCGAGCATCGTTCGCCAATGTTCCTTGAAGAGGAATACGCAGGATGGTAAATGGCATTCAAGTGTCTCTAACACCTTAAAATGGTCAAATTCCCTGCGGATAACACTGCAGTGCCATTACGTTGACAGCAATATTGAAGTACGTAATGTACATGCACTTGAACACAAGTTGAGGTATTTTTTTTCATGCTTCATAACATGTCCTGTACGATTCTGCTAGCCTCATAAGATATGCACCTGCTACTTTCACCAAGTGCACTTGAGTTATTTGCATAAGAGACCATATGTGATTTAGCATTTTTGGAATCCTCTAATATGTGGGTTCAAAACGATTAGGCGTACTACACTGGCCACATGCATTTTGAAAGTTGCTTACTGATTTCTTCAATGCTCACAATGAAACAGTGGCATTGAACTTTGGTCAACACCGGAATATGTATGCAAATCATTTCGCAAGTAAATTTCTGTGTTTCACACGTGGTAGATGTATGCCATGTTCCCTCTATGTATCACTGCATGTATTCATGGGCACGAAACACTTGGCAAGCTGTAATCGGAAATGAAAATCAAATTTAAATTTGTCACGTACAAATTAACCTGGATAGATACAAACAAGTCTGATGCCTGATTTACTGTAGATTTCCCAAATCGCCAAGACAAATTATATTCAGAAGGAGAAAACTCAAATCCAAATTGGAAATAATTGGGTTATTTTTTTGTATTTGGACACAAGTTGGAAACAGTGTCAGGAACTCAGTGGAGTCATCTGTGATTCACGGGCACGAAACACTGGGCCCGAGTTAATCAACTGCAGGACGAATTAGTTCACTGCTTAACGGTGCAGCCGTCCGATTACACACTCGTACGCTTTCAAGTAGCGCGGTGTAAACAGGCCGGTCATTTTTGTCGGAGGCAACCGGGGACAGGCTTTGGAGAGACGGATTTGTCCCAGGAAAATTGCTGTTTTGATTACAGGATCCGCGGGGAGATCCAGGTATCAATGCGTCGGGAAAATCAGAATTATAGGCTCTCAGAGAGGGGCACAAATTGGAAGGGGAGCAGAAATTGAGGTGGACAAAACATTCGGTTAATTGTATCCGAGTCAAATTTAGCAGGGGATCCTGTTTCTTGGGATACATAACCACCAAACGGAAATGAAAATATCTGTAAAAGGTGAAGCAGAATTGTCTGGTCTGGGTTATTAAATTACATCTAGAGCTAGACAATACCCATATCAAGGAATTTGAAGTTATCTAAGCGGGTGGCAAACTGATCCAAACGTAATGAGTTTAAAGGTAGAGTATATAATTTGCAGCTATCCAAAAAGTAACTGAAAAAATAAGTGTTGAAAAGCATATTTTGTTTAAACATGGTAATTGCACTAAACTACCTGTGAAATTATTCTTTCTGGCATGCTGTCATTTTGAGGAAAACAATAAAAGAAGGTAATTTTTTTTTTTGTAAAAGAAGGAAATTTCTGATAGTACATGTAGTTCATTGAACTGCACTTGTCGCAATTGATCCTCATGTATTTTTCTTTTAATATTATCAAATAATACCCTGTTTGCAAAGTATTCAGAACGTTAATAAATTATTGTATTTAACTAACAATGCTCAGAATTGACATTAATCTTCCCACTTGAGGCATAATAGCTTGGAAATGTGCAAACCTGTACATGTATATGAATGTAATGTGAAGTATTTGTATGCTAGAAATTATCAATGGTGCATATTTTGACTAATTCCATAAATAATTCATATGTGACCTTTTGGAAACCTCCACCTAGTGGAGGCATTTTCTGCAACAAGCTAAGATATATTAGTGACTTTATCAGATTTACATGTTTATTCCAATATGTATTAACGACGTTATGGACTTTAATTGAATCAAAAAGTAAATTCACTTATTTTGATGAGACCTTCTGGTCGGGTGTGCCGACGTCTGAAGTGGCCGGACACCTCATGAATTTTTCATTGTCAATAATTTTCCAGAGCAGTGTGCCATTTTTTGGGGGAGTTCACCAAACCTTCTTCTCTGGCTCTAGAATTATTTATGAGCCTTTAAAGATATAGTCCATCATTTGTAATTTGTGCATTTTGTTCGTTTGAAGCAACAAAAGTGTTCAAAATCTAATGAGGGATACTGAACCACTAATCTGATGAAGTTTCAGCTAAGCTTCAGCTGTATTTTCCGAGAAAAACAGCATTTTAGGATCTCAATTTCAAATCAAAAGTTACTGAATCATGTTTTGAATTGTTTTGAATTGCAGCTATACGCGATGTCGCGCACTGATCCGATGAATTATAGCAACCACGCGCATGTGTGCGTCGTGCCAATGCTTGCGCGCGCTTCGCCGAAAAACAAAACGAATTACTAATTTAATTTTTCCTACGGTGTGTCTTAAGACACACCGTTGGAAAGGCCTTCTTTCGTTGATTACTTCAAAATGACAGCTTCCCAGAAATAATAATTTCACAGGGAGTTTAGTTCCCTTACTATCTTTCAACCAACTATTTTTTTCAACAATAATTACGCCAGTTACGTTTCGGATGGCTGCAAATGATGGACTATAGCTTTAAGTCCAAACCAATTGGACATGTGCCAAACTGTGGTGTCGTGGGCTCCGTACGCGAGCAGGAAAAGACTTGTTTACCACTTTTGAAAGCCCCTTGGACGGGATACAACTTGTGCACATATTGGTTCACGCGCATATAGCGCTTACTTTGAATGTGCCATAGCGTCTTCGCGTGAGCGTCAGACGTCATCAGAAATGCATTCAAATGTCTCTCCCAGTGGTCTCCCCCAACTCTCCCTTTCTTACCGTTGAGGGGGTACTTGGGCACGGAGCCTATAGTACAGGATTTAATTTTCTTGATACAGAATATGGACCTTTTTCATTGATACAGAGTCCTGAAGTTATAGGACTAATATCTCCTGAAGCCAAAGTGCTGAGATGAAGTCAATATTTGGTAAAAAAAAAACCTTTGTGTACACAGACTTTAAATTATATTTCCAACAAACTTAACTTTAGCCCCAAACAGATATATTGGCTCCAAATGGCTCCCTCTTAAGACAACAAGCCTATATAAACAGATACTTAATTAAAAGTACATTTAATTGAGGCACTAATTAATTCCAATAATCAGTCTTGTTTGCACAAGGCTTCGGTGCAAACAAGTGCTCCAGTCAAGTACTTTTTTGAGGTCCAACAAAGTCCACTGATAAATTGAACGTGGTATAGTTGGAAATAAGTTTGCGGTCAGATAGAGTACTCAGACTTTGTATTAGGAGTACATGTACGGTGTAAGTATCTTATCAAGGAGAAGTTAAAAATGTCGACATATTTGCACTGTACAAGTATATTTGCACATTTCTTGTTAAACAGCGTCAAGTAGTTTGATCAAAACACTCAGTGTCAGCCAACACAGCCTTGGTGCTTATTACAATATAAGGTTATCTTACCACTAGGCCAGTAGTCAATTTTTCTATTCAAGTACCGTACTCACAAAAAAATTACTCGTGAGTAGCAAGAACTCCCCACGTAGTTAACCATATTCCCATAAAAGCAGAAAAATGTCATACACTAGTATGACATGTTAAGCAAATAGCGTTCAAGTCACACCACACTCTTCAGCACTGAGATATCCTTACTGTGCAACATTTTGGATAATTTACTTGAATTTTCTTCTTTCTTTTTTTTGGATGAATGGAATCCTAGGGAGAGAGAGGTGGAGGGAATGTTTCCCTGTTTGCAGGGGACGTATTAAGCCGTGAACCCTAAACCCTAACTTGCTACTCGCGAGTACCCGCTTCTACTCACGCCAGGATGAGTACTCAAGAAGGCGAAAAAACGCGAGTAGAACAACAAGTAGCATTTACTCGTGAGTACTCGAGTAATCGAGTTACTCATCCAGTGGTAATTAACACTTTGTATGCTATTATGAATGCCGTGTGTGAACGGTAGATGACACTTCTTGACTACTTTGAGAGCCCAAGGGAGGGACATACACACAAACGTGTGTTCACCGTCAATT